GGGGGTTACGGGTCCCGAGTGCCCACGGGCGGCCCGGGAAAGAGCTCATTCATCTCGATGTGTTAACTTCCACGCAGCAAGATGCCCAGCCGCTCTGTGAGCAGTTTCATGCTTTTGCACGTGGGTGTGCGTGGCCTTCCGGGCCATTTTCCAAGTCCAACAACCGGCTCTGCAATTCCCCAGACCCTACTGCCTTCAGACCCCCGTTGGGAGTCCCGGGCCGCTCGGACTGCTGGCCCACTATAAATCAGGGCTCCCACCACCCCTCCTCGGGCTTGCAAAACATACCTATTATTTTTTAGAGCAAAAACAAAAAAAGCTATAAAAAAAGGCTCAAAACAATCGAAGAAAACCAACATTAAAAATATTAAACAAAATATATTTTTAATTAGAAAAAGTTTTAAAAAACCAACAATTGCCAGGAAGTCCCGGGGGCGGAAGCCTCAGCGAAGTTCATGGGCTTGCTGGGGCTTCTGCGACCTCCGTCACGGTTAAGATCTCTTCCTTGTCACCCATTTCTGCATCGCAGGTGAACTTCTCCGAGAGTACCTGATGGGGAGAAGGGTGGGGGTGTCAGGTCCTCAGGGGCCCTGGGAGCGGCAGCCATAGGGGGTGTACGACAGAGAACTGCGCGGGCTCCGAGTGGGAGCGTGTAGCCGGCGGGCGCAGGACAGCCTGGGAGACGGACATCTGAGCGATGGGTCGGCAGAAGGTGGGACAGCACGGAGTTGGAGGCGGTGGGGAGGACGTGGCTCGTCCTGGCCTTGTGAGGTGGGCGGGACCCTGGAGGTCCCGGGGAACTGGCCGGTGAGCAGGACACGGGACACTCCAGCCACATCCTGTGGTCCCCTTTGTGTGAATACGGACGAGATTACCGGGTCGCTGTTCCACCTCCGTCTCCATCCCAACCCCGTACGTACCTGGTGGTCAATCTGATGGTCATCTTTCAGTTTGTCTCTGATCCTTGGAATTGGCGGGAATAAACTGTGCGACCCCAGGAACCTAGTGAGACAAAGAGTGGGTCAAGAAAAAAGACCGAGATGGCCAAGCCCCTTTTGCACCCGATGGGGACACGCCGTCCTGCTCCGTGCAGACACACCACCTGGGCTCATTTCTTCGGAAAAACATCGTTTAGGAATCACAGAAGGACCGACTCTGATCTTAGGTCACGGAGAAACCAGGAGACACCGTGAATCTACTTAGTGATGCCCAGGATAGTCTTTCTAGAACCTTCCCTCCGTCCCTGGGGTGCAGGGATGGGAGTGGGGGCCGTGTCCGGTCGCGGGCCGCTTGGAGGAGCCACACGCGGGAAAAGCCGCGGGAGACGCCTGCGCAGGTGCCCGTGGCGGGGCTGGCTGCCAGCCCAGGGCCGGGATGACTCGCCTGGGGGAGAGGAAAGCCGGGGAGGGGGGAGGAGGGGGGACATTCCGGGAGGCCCAGCGGCTCCGAGAGGCTGAAGGCAGGGCTGTGAGCACAGCGGAGCCGAGCCGCCCAGTGTCCGGCGGGCGTGGGGGCTGGACGGGTGTGCCAGGCCTGGCCGCTCTGAAAATACCGGGGGACGCGCGTCCCTTTGGGGGCGGGGTGGGAGCCTCGCTGGTCACCAGCTGGAGCAGCTCGGACGGCGCAGCGTCCGCGGGCTTTGTGAGCGGCCTCAGAGCCCCTCGCTGCTGGTTCTCCATCTCTCCGACATCCTCTCCCGTTTCCCAGACACCCGGAAAGCCCACACACCCGACCGTGGTTGGACCACTTGGGGTTTCAGCCGGTTCTCTGTGAGACGAACGGGCTGGCTCTGGAGCAAGCACCGTCCCCCGCCCGCTGAGCAGAGACGCCCCCCGTGGACGGCCGGGGTTACCTTTTGAAAAGGCAGCCGCAGGCCAGGCCGCCCGCGAGGGTCCCCAGCACCACCAGCACGTACACAAGCACCAGGCTGGATTCCGGCTCTTCAGAGCCTGGAGGGGAGAGAGCGAGGTGGGGACGTGACAGGTTCCCCTGGGCCGAGCGCTCGGTCGTCCCATGGCCCGCGAGCTCGTGTCCTCAGGTGCTCCCGGGGGCGGAACCGTGCAGGCGCAGGAGGGAACCGCGGACAAGGGACCCCAGCCTGGAACTTCCCCAGAAACACGTTCGTGACCCACTGACCCCAGGAGCCCGCAGACCCAAAACACCATTTTGAAAGTGTCCTTTGCTGCACAAGACTTTTTACTCTTAATTCCTTTTAAAATTGTTTGCTTGTTTATTTTGCGGGGAGGTAATTCGGTTTATTTACTTATTGTTTTTAATGGCAGTGCTGGGGACTGAACCCAAGGCGTCCTTCATTCTAAGCATGACCTCTGCCCCTGAGCAGGGTTTTTTTTTTTCAGTGAAGTCCGATGTACACTTCTTTTTTTTTTTTCCTGCTTCTATCATTCCTGGTTTTGCTGTCATAGCTACGAATCCACTGCTAAATCCAAGACTGCAAATCGATTCCGTATTGTACTCAGCCACCGCTTTCAACTTGTAAAATATTGCCGAATACATGTTTCCTATCAATTCTGCAGTGGCAGGGATAAAATGCATTGATCTTGGACCAGTGTATGGGGGGAAACCCCAAACAAACAGCTGTATGTGCACAGCACATGTTAAAATGCTGCACTTTTTTGCGAGCTGCGAGGTGAGGGAAGTTGGATTCCTAACCACCAGAATGGCTTGAGGTGCAAACCTTTAAATTCTTGCCAATAAATAGAAGTTAGAAGGAGGAAGTTGGTAAAATCGTCACTAATTCAGGTCCTGGAACTGCCCCCTCTGGGTTAGAGGGAAACGGACCCAGTTTGGACGTAACCTGTATCCTGACCAGGGTTGCGGAGCCATGGCTCCCGGAAGCGACCAGGACGGATGGACGTTCCCTGGTCGGGCGGGGGCTGAGGGAGGCTTTCCGTGATGATTAAGGGGCCCCTCTCATTAGCTGTTTCTGAAACCAGGGGGACAAAGGCGCAGGCAGAGGCTTGTGGACAGGACCCCCTCCTGGAACGACAGCGCGGAGATGAATTCAGGATGCCCGACCTCTCCGGGGGGGCCCTGGGGACACGTACCGAACTGAACGGGCTGGCTCCAGTCACCCCAGTGGGCTCTCCGGGCATCTGCCGTTCGAATCTTCACCATCTGTGTGCCTCTGGGCTCCGGGCTCGGAAAGTTGTATCGATTTTCTGAGTCGCCAGACACCACGATCTTTAGGGGAAACGGACAGTGAGAGCGAGTTGGCGCTGGTGTTGAGAAAAGGAGCGAGGATGTCTTGAAAGGCGGTTAACTGAAACAGATCAAAGATTCCAGGGCACGCCCTCCCCACCTGGGCGTGAACGTTCGCCTCCTCTTTGGGACAGAAGAAGATACTGAGGTCAGAGTGGCAGTGGAACTTAGAAAAGATTAACAAAAGGTCTTTGATCCTCTGCCTTTAGAGGGGTTTTGAAGGAAGCAATCATGTCCTAAACACTCCAAGGAATATTTTATTTTCTTTCTTCTTCTTTTTTTTTTTGTCCTGTTTCAGTTTTTCCAAGGAATCTTTCTTCACTGCCATGGAAAAGAGAGGGAGACCCCAGCCTGCGAGGCTACTGGAACTGCCCCTAATCACTGGCTGGACACAGCTCTCAGGAACCTCCACCCTCTGCTCTTCAGCCCAGCCCCATCCTGGCCACTGCTGGGCCAAGTTTTCACCTGGCCTGTGTCCACTGACAAACACTGGACTGTTAAGCCACAAGGGTGATATTTTGGATCAGAGTCATAACTCACCAGTTGATTTTCACTGTGTCCAGAATTACTCTAGGAAAAAAAAAAGGATAGAATGTTTAGCAGAGGCCCCTCCCTGTCTACACTGGGTCCAGGTGGACTTGGAGCAGAGGCCCCTCCCTGTCTACACTGGGCCCAGGTGGGCTTGGAGCAGCGGCCCCTCCCTGTCTACACTGGGCCCAGGTGGGCTTGGAGCAGCGGCCCCTCCCTGTCTACACTGGGCCCAGGTGGGCTTGGAGCAGAGGCCCCTCCCTGTCTACACTGGGCCCAGGTGGGCTTGGAGCAGCGGCCCCTCCCTGTCTACACTGGGCCCAGGTGGGCTTGGAGCAGAGGCCCCTCCCTGTCTACACTGGCTCCAGTTGGCCACAGGGCAGACCCTGAGTTTTCCCAGCTGTTCCCCCACTCTGAGCCCACCTCTCGTGCCCCAGGTCTTCGCGGTGGCCACGGGGCGGCCGCCATGCCTCCTGCGGCGCGGTGCCCTGCTCAGAGCAGAGCCCACTCACTTGTCTCCAGATGTCCAGCTGGTACTGAAACTCCCTGTTGGACCAGTTTTTCCGGGTCCTGGGCTTTTCCCACCGGACGAGGCAGTGTGACTCATTGCAGTTTACGGTGATATTGTGGGGTGGACTGTATCTCTCTGTAATGAGAAGCCGGCAGACACCTCTGATCTGGAGTGCTTCCCCCGGGGTACAGAGGGGGACCCCGGTCTGCCATCCCGACCGTGACGGGAGCTCCCCGAAGTCACCAGGAGGCAGGGGTGGGTCTGAGTGTTGTCTCTTGGGGAAGATGGCCATCAGACCACCGTGTGCAGAAGGGAGGAAGTTAGCGTTCATGGAGACCCTGGGAGGGAGGTGGTGATGGGTTTGGAAGGGCAGGAGAGAGGCTGCTTTGAGACGTCTGTAGCTTTAACAGGCCTGGAACACGCCCTGGGATCAGCGCGCCTGCAGGTAGAAACACGGGGTTGCTTTTGCAAGAGAAGGCGTAGGTTGGCATATGGGACTGTCTTCAAGAGGCCAGCCTGGAGCAGAGCTCTGGAGAGAAGGAAAAGAGCTGGTTAAAAAAAAAAAAGTGAATTCCCAGTGGTCCAGGATGGGCGGAGGAGGTCAGACTACCTGGGAGGTGTCCAGATTCTAAGGGGAGACAGGAGCTGGCATCTGCCTCGGTACGATCGAGTAAACACCTGTTGGTGCAGGAGGTTTGGGGGTCACGCTGACCCCCAAAGTGAGGGAAGGAGGGAAAGATGGGGGCTTGGAGGAACTGGGTCCTCCTGGAGCTAACAAAGTCATGGTTGCCACCTGCTGGAGTTGATGCATGTCTGAAAAGACCAAGGAACTCCAGCGTCCTTCAACAGCGATCGGATACCCGAACAGTGACCCCACTACGGTGGCTTCCGGCCACCAGCAGGTTGGGAGCTGTGTGTCTGATTCCACTTTGACTGGTATCCGTCCCAGTCTAAAAGCCGATGACTCGATTCCGTTATTGGAACCTGGAGAAGGTACGTTCGGGCAACTCGGCCGTGTGCCCTTTCTTTTGTGCCTGTGCATCTCATGGACTCCACGTCCAACGAGTACATCTGATCACCTTCAGCTTTCCAGGCGCGGCGTGTTATCGCCAGGAAACGCACGCTGGGTTTTCCCAGCTCAGAGCAAAGCAAGAGACAGGACGTCTCTGGCTGGTCGCTGTGATCTGAATTTGGGCTTCCCCACCCAGTTCTGATGTGGTAGGACTTCTTACCCCGGACCCCACCGAGCAATTCTCGGACACAGCTCAGCTCGATTCTGCCACAATCTACCTGGAGAGAGCGTCAGATTCCACAGCCGCACAAGACAGCCCCCACTTCAGATGCTGATCCCGCCGCGTCACGGCATCCCCTGTGCTTCCGACTCACCAGCTGTAGATCAAAGGCTCCCCTGACCTCCTCCTTGGGTCCAGTTAATTTTCTAAAGCAGAGTTGCTCACAGAACTCAGGAAACATTTTGCTCACGAGATCAGTGGCTTATTACAATAACTCAGAAACAGCCAGAAGGAAGAAACGCGTAGAGCAGGCCGTGGGGAAGGGACACTGAGCTTACGCACCTCTTCTTCTAGGGTAACAGTCTCTCACGTTTAGGGACTCATTTGATGGAGTCCCCTAAAAAGGCAAGAGAAATCTGCGTCTGCTACCGCGTGGGGGAGGCCCACGAATGGGCCAGCATTCCCCACCTCGTGGTCTGAATGGCCACCCTTTTGTGCTGTAGGAACTTTGCTGTTGGCTGCAGGCAAAACTCGTGCATGTCCAGGCTGAGCCAGGACCAGGACCGGGGGCCGTGGGGGCGTCGGAACGGCCCTCGCTTCCTCGGGGGTAGAGGAGGCCCGCTAGCAGCGCAGGTGTATCCTGTTACTGCGTTTGATTCAGAGTGAAAGGATGGAGGAGCGCCTTTTAGTTGGCCTCTGTTTTGGGGGAATGGCCATATTTTCCCACAAGATTAAGAGAAACGAACAAACGAAAAGAAAGAATCCATGACCTTGGCAAGCCCTAGAGTAAGTAGATCCTATAATTACGCTTGTACTAGTTTGTTGGGTGTTCCTCCCAAATTCATGTCCACCTGGGACCTCACGATGGGACTCTGGAAGTAAGATCAGATGTAATGAAGGATCTTGAGAGGAGGTCAATCTGGGTGGGGATAGGCCCTAAATCCAATGACTAATGTTCCTATAAGAGGAAGGAGAAGGGAGGCTTGAGACACACAGGGAAGACGGACATGTGAAGACACAGACAGAGGCTGGGGAGATGTGTCTATAGTCCAAGGATTCCTAGCCATCACCAGCAGCTAGGAGAAAGGCATGGGGAAAGATGTTCTTTCAGACACACCCTGCCAACCCCTTGCTTTTGGATTTTTGGCCTCCATAATCGTGACAGAGTACGTTTCCATTGTGTGCAGCCTCCCTCTTTGTGGCCATCTTGTCACAGCATCTCCAGGGGACTTAGGTAGATTTCAACGCAAACTCTGTCGGACCTACTAAGCTGTCATTAAGTTACAGGTGGTTGTTCTCACCTATTTCCTTTAACAACAGGATCGAGTCAAAGAACTGGATTCCTGTCTCTCGGCTGGTACCGTTGACGAGGAAGTAGTTGTACGAAGTTAATCCCGACAGGTCTTGGAGGTGGCATCCCACGTTTGTTCCCGCGTCTGTTAGGTAATGAGGACATTCTCTCTCACTTTTTCTCCTGTAAGATTCCAAAGCGTTCAGAGAACAATCAGGGCATTTTTCTTTCTTCGCTGTATTTCTCAGGGTTGTCTCTATGTGGCCAACACTTACGTCGAGTTTCGTATATACAAAAAATACTGGACGTCATCGGGGGCGGCGTGGCCCTTTGCCCAGGTGCAGTTCAGGAAATCCGCATTGTAGACAAGACAGGAGAAGTTTTGGGCAGCTGTGCCCTCCTTGCCTGGGAAGAGGCAGAAACGAAATCATTTGTACATGAGCTTTAAAGGGGGATGGGCCAGATGGCTTCATGGTTTGAATGTCTACCCAACATTCAAAGAATCAATACAGATCTTTCTCAAACTCTTCTCAAAAACAGGAGAAAAGGGAACCCTTTTAAAATCATTTTACGAGGACAGCATCACCCTGATATCAAAGCCAGACAAAAACACAAGAAAAGAAAATTACAGGCCAATATCTCTAGTAAACATAGGTGTAAAAATCCCCAACAGAAAGCTAACAGACCATATCTAACAGCATGTTAAAAGGATTCCAGGACATCACCAAGTGGAACTTAGCCCTCGGACGTAAGAATGACTCAACATATGCAAATCAATTAATGTGAGACACTGCATTGATAGAGTCCAAAAGGAAAAACCACATCATTTTCTCAGTAGATGCAGAAAGAGTGTTTGACAAAATGCAACATTCACTCATGATAAAGAAAACCTTCCACTTACGTCAGCACAATAAAGGTCGAACATGAAAAGCCCACATCTGAGCTGATTCACAGCAATGAAAAATTGAAGGCTTTTTCTCTAAGATCCTGTGCAAGACAAGGATGCCCAATCTTACCACTCATTCAACATAGTACTAGTACATAGGAATCCTAGCCTGAGCAATTAGACAAGAAAAAGAAATAAAGTCATCAAAGTCAGAAAAGAAGCAGTCAAATCATCGGCTTGCAGATGATAGGATCATATACATAGAAAATCCTAGACTAAATCAAAAAAAAAATTAAGACTAATATATCTAGTGAAGTTGCAGGATACAAAATCAGCACAGAAAAATCAGGGGCGTTTCCATACAGTCACAATGACCTATCCGAAAAGGAAGTTAAGAAAACCATCTCCTTTACAACAGCCACGAAAAGAATTAAGGACTTAGGCATGTACTTAACCTAAGGAGGTGAAAGGCTTGTGCTTTGAATAGTGTAAACCATGGATGCAGGAAATGAAAAAAGATGCAGATAAATGGAAAATGGAAAGACACCTTGTGTTAATGGATTGAAAGAATCAATAATGTTAAAATGTCCACACTCACCAAAGTGACCAATAGATCAAGGCAATGCCTATCAAAATCTCAATGATGTCCTTTAAGGAAATAGAAAAAAAATCCTGGAATTCATATGGAACCACAAGACTCCAAATGGCCAAAGAAATCTTCTGTAAGAAGAACAAAGCTAGGAACAGCCCATGTCCTGATCCCAGGATATATGACAAAGCTACAGGAACTAAAACTGTACTACGCTGGCATTAAAATAGACGTATCGATGAATGAAACCTGTTAGACAGCCCAGAAATAAATTCAGACACTCACAGTCTACTGGTCTTTGAAAAGCCTGCCAAGAGCACACAGGAGAGACAGGATGAGTCTCTTCACTAAAGGATAATAAGAAAACTATATATCCACACGCAGAAGAATGAAATTGGAGCCGTATCTCACACCATATACAGAAATCGAGTCAAAATGGATTGAAGAGTTAAACAGAAGACCGGAAACTGTAAAACTCCTGGAGGAAGACATAAGGAAAACGCTTCTTGACATTGCTCCTGGCAATGATTTTTTCTTTTTTTTTGGATTTAACATGAAAAACACAGGCAAAGGAAGCAAAAATAGG